GATAAAAATTAAATCAAATTTATATACCTGATTCAAAATCAAAGAAAACTATAAGATTCCTAAATTAGTTTTTCCGGAGGATATTTACAAAGTACTTACACATATACAATCAACAAAATCAAGATCCTCAGATCGCTATTGTGATTCCGTACAAGCAAATAAAGATATAAAAAATATTATAACATCAGGGTCATGATTAACAAAATTTGAGAGTTGGGTGAGGCGTTGAGCAACAGGGTCTCAAATCCACCAAGTTAAAGAATCAATCAGCTTCGGAGTTTCTTCCCAGATATCCATAAAATAACACGAACAACAGCGAAGTCATAGTCATTTTAGCGTTACGTTGGTTTAGTGTGAGAGGGAGCACGAGAGGAGAGCAAGATAAGTGAGAGGGAGCAAATCACGAGCAAGAAGGAGCCAAAAAAAGAGTGAACACTTCAGTTTCGGAGAAAGTCGGGGATTTTTTTTTTTTTTTTAAAAAGGGCTACAGTGGACGAAAACGCACCTGGAAGGAAATAGGGATCTTTCAAATGATTAATGGTGAAGCCGTGAAGGTCAGGGAGGCTGAAGGGAAATTGCTACTACGCAATTCTGTGTGGGTAGAGGAGGGAGCAACGGTGGTGACGCGGCGTGGCGGACTGAGGTAGCGAGGCCGTGAGCTCGAAACGAAAATACAGGAGGAGGAAGAGGAAGAAGAAGAAAACATCAGGAGCCATTGAGCGCCGAGAAGTTGGAATCGAAAGTTGGGACATTGAAGATGAACGGTGAAGACGAAGAAGAAGGAAGACGCTGAGAGCCATGGTCTCTGAATCTGAAGGTGAAGGAAAGCGTGACCGACAGCGATGAAGGGAAAGGGTCAAAGGAATCGGGTAAAGGTTTCTGAAATCTCACTCTCAACCTTTTCCTTTTAGTAATTTAATTGATTAAATGCATTGTAAGTTAAAAAAAATGCAAATCCCTGTAATTTCAAGGTAATAAGTTCTTTTTTAATGATTTTTTCAATTAATTATAGCCATAAGTTAATTTGTTAAGAGAGAATGAATAAAAATGACATATAAACTTGAAGATCTCCAAATCATCACTTGAATAAAGCAAATTATATTTTCATCACTTTAGACCAAATTGGGATTTTCAAGTTAAATAGAATAACCAAATTGCCCTTATCAATTACAAAACATGGACACCACATTCACTTGCATCAGATGAAGTCTGGTAGGAAGGAAAAAACAGAGAACGTGCATAATGTTGGATCCAAGGTGAGGAGAAAGTGCTGGTCCGAAAGTGTAAGTAATTTTTTGAAATCATATAACTCTTTTCATCCTCCTAACATCATTGTGGTGTTCTATTTTTTTCATTTTGATGGTTTTGGGTTTTGGGTAATCGAAGATTCAGACAGAGCTGAAGTGCGACATTATGAAAGTCGAAGGTCCTTCAAATTGGGTGTTGGTTCTTTCTTTTTTTAGTTGTGAGAATGGTTAGAAATTTGAGCATATGATTTAGTTAGTGTTGGACAGGATTTGGGTTCTGGGCAAGTTTGAAAATTTTTGAAAAAGCTTGGTGATGATTATGCAGATAGGAAGTTTAAATATGAACAGCAATAATTCATGGACTGTGGGGTTAATAGCGGAAGTGTAATTGTAAAATGCTATATTAAAGTTGTTAATACAAGAAGTGACTATATTGAGTTCATTTTGAAAATTGATGAAATATCTTTGTTAGAGAACTGACATTGTGATAAATTTTTTTTCTTTTTTGTTGCGGGCTAGAATGCAAAAAACATGTAATACTGGGTTAACATCCTCAAAAGAACTTTTTAAAAATGTTGAAGGGGAAGTTAAATATAATGGTTGGAATGTGCGAGTGAAAATGATAAAAAAGGATATAAGACTTGAAGATCTGATCAAGATCAATGATATTGGAATAATTTGAAATTGATGTAATGATTGCGGCATAAAAGCTTGTCATTGATTATATATTCTGTAAATACTGTCAGTGAGGTTTTGGTTTGTGAAAAATATCATTATTGAACTTGTTATTTACTTTAAATGTGTTGTTAATTATTATAGAACTTGGAATGTAAAAGTGCCCTACTTATTCACTATAAAAATTTTGTATATGTTCATTACTTAAAAAATCAATTGAATGTGTATTTTGTGCCGATACAATAACATCTAACCACTTTTTTTATCTCATGAGATTTTTTTCAACTTTTATAATGAAATTAACAAGTGCAGTGATGTTATTAACAACTTGTGTGACAACATTAACAACAGCTTTTCCAAGCGCAAGTTTCAAATTGGGAATTTTTCAACTTTTGTAATGAGTCTGCAAGAGTTGTTAATAGTTACACTGAAGTTGTTAATAGTGTCACTGAAGTAGTAAAATTGGTCATTTTTACATTTTCTCAAATTCCAGTTGTTAAAAGTGATACTGAAATTGTTAACAGAGATAATGAACTTGTTAACCGCTATACAAAAATTCTAAAATTTTCCATTTATGATTATATAACCTATCTCTCTCAATTCTAACAAGCCCTGATATGAGGTAGTTAATGGCTATACATAAGTTGTTAATAGTTATACTAAAATTGTTAACAGCGTCACTGAAATTGTAAAATTAGCCATTTTTATATTTTTTCGAATTCCAGTTGTTAAAGGCGATACTGAAGTTGTTGACAGAGAAAATGAATTTGTTAATCGCTATACAAAAGTTGTAAAATTTTCCATTTATGATTATACAACTTATCTCTCCCAATTCTAACAAGCTCTAATATGAGGTGGTTAATGGCTATACATGAATTGTTAATAATTATACTAAAGTTGTTAATAACGTCACTGAAATTGTAAAAATGACCATTTTTGCTTTTTCTTAAATTCTTGTTAAAAGTTATATTGAAGTTGTTAACAGAGATAATGAACTTGTTAACCACTATATGACAGTTGTTAATAAAGATAATAAATATTAACAAAACCTTTATAGTGAATAAGTATGACAGTTTTGTTTTGCAAGTTCTACAGTAATTAACAACACATTTAAAACAAATAACAAGTTCAATGATGACATTTTCCACAAACTAGAGCCTCGCTGACAGTATTTATAGAATATACAACCAATGACAAGTTTTCATGCCACAACCATTACATCAATTTCAAACTATTCCAATATCATTGATCTCAATCAGATCTTCAAGTCTTATATTCTCTTTTATCATTTTCACTATCATATTCCAACCATTATATTTAACTTCCCCTTCAACATTCTTAAAAAGTTCTTTTGAGGATGTTGACATAGTATTACATGTTTTTTTGCATTCTAGCCTGCAACAAATAAGAAAAAAATTCATCACAATGTCAATTCTTTAACAAAGATATTTCATCAATTTTCAAAATCAACCCAACATAACTACACTTTCGCTGTTAACCCCACAATTCATGAATTATTACTGTTCATATTCAGACTTCCCATCTGCATAATCATCACTGAGCTTTTTCAAAATTTTTCAAACTTGCCCAGAACCCAAACCCTGTCCAACACTAACTAAATCATATGCTCAAATTTCTAACTATTCTCACAACTAAAAAAAAGAAGAACCAACGCCCAATTTGAAGAACCTTTGACTTCTATAATGCAGCACTTCAGCTCTGTCTGAATCTTCGTTACCCAGAACCCCAAACTATCAAAATCAAAAAATAGAACACCACAGTGATACTAGGACGATGAAAAGAATTATATGATTTCAAAAAAAATACTTACACCTTCGAACCAGCACCTTCTCCTTACCTTCGATCTAGCATTGCGCACATTCTCTGTTTTTTCCTTCCTGCCAGACTTAATCTAATGCAAGTGAATTTGGTGCCCTTGTTTTGTAATTGATAAGGGCAATTTGGCCATTCTATTTAACTTGAAAATCCCAATTTAATATGAAGTGATGAAAATAGAATTTACCTTATTCAAGTAATGATCTGAAAATTTTTAAGTTTATATATCATTTTTATGTGATTTTTCCATTTGTTAATGGCCCATGGCTTTGCCCACGCAAATGGCCCCAGCCCCTATCTTTGTTTTTCCGTATATTTTTCCAATTGCCTTCGCGCTTTTTCCCGTACACTACTTTCATCTTCCTTGGATTTACATCGGGTGCTCATCAGTTTTGATGAGCACCCAATGCTCATCAAATTTGGACCGTCCACATTAGATCTGGACGGTTCAGATTTATTTTTATTTTTATTTTTTTAAAAAATAATTATTTTAATAGGTATAGGATAAAAAATAAAAATAATCTCTTAACTATCATTCTTTAAAGATATAATTTTTTCTATTTTAAAATAATTATTTAATAATATTAAATCTGGACCGTCCATATCTAATCTGGTCCAGATTGCTCATCAGGTGATGAGCATTGGGTGCTCATCACCTGATGAGCACCGAATGGGGACCCATCTTCCTTACAATGGGCGCATCAAGTTCCAGCGAGAAGCTTTAGCTCTCTAAATCCGATTATATCTTACGTTTTCGGATTATGCGCAACAACATAATTAATGGAATTGATGATTTTCAGTTTCATAATACTATCTCTAGATAATACCTAATTTACTAGTTTGAAAAGATTAATAAAGTTAATTATTTGCAGTAAGTAGATGTTATCTTTTCTAAAATATCCTTATTAATTATATAAATTTTGATTACTCATTAATAGTAACTCCTTAACATATGTAACCACTGTAGCCTATAGGAGTTACTTGAGGGCAAAATGAATAAATATTAAAAACAAAATGAATTAGGATTTTATACTTAGAACTAAATTGAATGTGAAACTAGTTTTTAAATTAATAACTTTAGGTAGCATATATGGGGAATTGTTAGTATAGCAATTAATGTAAAGAACGTACAGCACTTTACAAATGCTAGAAGAACATCGTACATTTTACATTTGGAGAAAATTAAGGAATGTACTATATTATATTATTCGATGGAAACAGAGCATTGATGCAAGAAGAAGCTAGTGATGATTATTGCAACAGAACAGAAGCACTTTTATTCCTAGGGGCAGGCATGGATCTAATATATGAAAGAGAGAGGGTGTGTGATTTTTGAAGATTTTACTACGGACAATTAGCGCGCTTAAGAACACAGAAGTTAAAGAGGGAAGAATAAGGGTCCCAGTAGAGGCCAATCTCATCACCTTTGTGCAATTCCCTCCGCCTCACGAAATCCTGACTCCACTTGCCGATCAGAACATAACTCTTTGAAGACGACCACCGCTTCAGCATCAGCTGGTGCATGGATTTGGTGTCCATGTCCAAAACCCTAACCTCTGCTCCTTCTTCGCTCTCTACGGCTCTTGCGTCCTCGCCCCCCAGCATAGGCAACATGTGATTCTTCACCATGTCCGCCGACAGCAGCAGCCTGCTCAGGATTCCCAGATCGCTCTCCGTCAGCGTCTTCTTTATCTTCCACGGGTCCTCGTACAGCTTCAGACTGGTTGACACTGACGATCCATTCTTGCTTTCCTTCTTCAACCTTCTCCATCCTTCTCTCGAATCTTCGGAGCTGCTGCTGATGTGTTTCCTCTTGTTCCTCAGAAACTCGTCAACAGATTCATCTGGTGATGATGATGAGCTCTTCATGAGTCGAAGATGAAGCATGTTATTAATGCTGCTGCTGAGTTGAAGCCGATTGATGGATGCAGTCTCGTCGTGGGGCTACGATTTTTGTGTACGCTGGTGACTTGTGAAGGTTCTTTCCCTGTTTCGTCATATATATAAGACTTCCGCACTTGTCCCTCGTCTCATGCAATTCACTTGCCAAAATGGAACCAGAATATCCAACCATAAGGGAACAAATAAATGTTTTGTTTTTTAACCGCACAACTGGGAGCACATATAATGATCAAAAGTTTTCTTTACATGTTTTTGTCATGTAGATAGATATGGATTATTAGACCATGCATCTGATCATCTTATGTTTGATTGAATACACACTCGCACGCACCTACACAGGCTATTTATAATTAAGAGATGACTAATCACAAGCATCTACTTTTTAAGCTTTCTGAGGTCATCTTATAAGCCCGTCGCCCTACTTTAGAGAGATCGCACGCATCATTCTGTGCATCAAATGGTCCTCCTAATCACACACACACACACACACACACACACACACACTCTTCTCTAGCTAGCCTGTTGACCATGAAGAAGAAGGTTCGATCCAGGCTCGTAACTCGAACAAAAATCAATTAAACCTCAACGCGCATCAGCCGCACGCCCAAGTCCAACGAAGATAAACCAAAAATATCTTTAAATATCAATTCGATTGAAGGGGGGATTGTTTTCGGTGTTTCCTGTGTTGTGCATTAATTACATGTAGGAGGAGGGTTTGCAATTCAATAACACAGAATATTAGAGAAGAGACATGTGGGCTAGACTTAGCCAACATATTGTGTATATATATGGAGGGGCGTGGTTTTCAGTTTTGATGATCGATCAGAAGTGCCTTTCGCGATCGAATCTCGCAGGCAAAGCAAATATGAGAATAATACTTGAGCTTAAGTACGTATGTTCGGTCACTACTGCGTGATGAGGGACGACATGATAACGTGAAGACGCTTTCATGTGGATTCTTAAATATACAAGTGCATGTAAATAATAATGATGCTATAAATATATGAACGAGCGGAAAAATATGAGCCATGCATATATAGCTGGAGGATGGACCAGGAATTGTTATATATTGCTCGCGAGCGAGTCACCTCAGAAGTAAACTGCAACTTGTGAGTTCCGTGTATGTGTGTGTATGTGCGTGCATGGGCGTTATATTCTTGTGGGGATTTCCATTGGATTTGATCTGTCGCTGAATGCCAATTCCAACTTGATCAGTCCACAATCCATCGATCATCAACGTCTGAAAATCACATTTCCATAATGCCTGCTTTAACCCCCCACCAGGCTGGCTGGTGTTGGACCCCTTCATTGAGTGCTTTCTCGCTCGTACGTGTTCGATCCTTCGGTGCCAATCACCCACCGACGTCGTCGTGCGTTCTATTTACGTGTGCCCTTCAGATTCATACACTGCAGTACGCCAAACTAAAGTGTCACTCACTCCTTCTCTTTTTATAAACAACAACTACCATCTCTTCTTATTCTTAAATATAAGTAACATTTGTAAGTTGTTTTAAATTTTTATAGCAAATTTTTTTTTGGTCCCCATTAATTACTTATTTTAATATTTATATATATTTATTGTCTCATTTCCCAAACCACCATCTCTTTCCATCACACATTTTTTTCTCTTTCATAATTATTCTTTTTCTTGTACTCTCTCCCCTGTAAATAAGGGTATTTTGAAAACAAAAACTTCTAATTTTTACTTATTTATTATCTTCAATTAATTTTTTAATCTACGTAATAGAGTCTTATGTTCCTTATAATAAAAGACGGGGGAGTATTTGGTCAACAGGACCATAAGTCACCCCCCGGGAAAAAACTCTCAATTATCAGCACTTGTATGTTTGCTAAACATGCATATAAATATCCACATTTTTACTTGCCATGCCAAAAATACATACATACATATACTTAGATCATTTTGATTTATGTCTTCTTCTTTTCTTTTTCTTTTTAACTTTCATTCCCAGGTTTATTGCCACGAATATATTTGAGGAAGCAGACGTGGGATCAATTGCAATTGAGTTTACATGAAATCCATGAACTGGTATCTTATCTAGGGACTGTTTGGCAATCACAAAAAAATATTTTTAAAAAACGATTTTATGCAAGTTAAGACAAAACCCTTCTCATATACTTATTTTGTATACTATAAAATTACTTTTAAAATCATAATTTGATTTCTTTTCAAACAATTCTTTAATAATACAGTTTGTCTGTACGTATGTAAGTACTTACCTACTTATAATTAATTAGACCATGCACACTATCCCTCTTATATACTCTCTTGGTCCGTTATTATAAGATTCACTTAACTATATTATGTAGTTTAAGAAAACTGTTAAAATTAGTTAAAACAAATAAATATTTTGGAAATGTACCCCTTTCTTTCCAAATACGCCCTTGCCCTTATTTATAAGTGGATAGGTGTGAGTAAAAAAAATGGGAGAGAATATATGGGAGAAAGACAATGAGAGAGAGTATATTAATTAGGAGTAAAATAGGTAAAAATACATTTATTGTTTAGACAAACCCAAAAAGGATATTATAAATAGCGACAAACCAATTCAAAAAATTAGATCTTATAATAAGAGATAAGAGAGTACTATACCACTATGGTTCTTTTTAATTGTTACTTTTAGTAGTTCCTCACATACCATAGAGATCATTAAATATATAAAATCTTTTATTTTTATCCATATTAAATGCCAGTATATATTTTTCTCACACATTCTCTCTCTCCCTTTTCACCTTTGCTCCTTTATTTAGTAGGGACAGAATTAGAAATGAAGCACTAAAAAAGGTACAAGTGACAATTAAAAAAGATAAGACTGGTGCGTGTGTGTGTGTGATGATGGATCTTAATTTTGTGTTATCTGTAATATATAGAAGTATAAGAAATGGATGTTTGATCATCAAAAAGTCACTTTCTATATAAATTCAAATCTCCATTCCTTAAGAAAACGTACGTACGTGTAATAGCGAGCCAGTCCCTCCTTGTCAGATACTAAGCTAGCATTATTATTATTAAGCACGCATGGCCGTTATGTTCTTGTACTGTGGGATTTCTATTATATTGGATTTTCTATCTCCAACCTTAGCCTTAGGCTTATTCCACGCTTCATCAATAGCCAGTTTCGATGAGCACCAAAATCAGCCACATTTATTTCTCTCTCTCCTCTGTGTTCCTTTTAGTCTGAATCGGCCTGCCACTACGTTTTCGACTGCCATTTCCAGCTAATACGATTCACAGGTTTTCTTCACAGCTTTCTTTCTTTTTAAATTTAAATGTAGTCTCTCTCTTCTATTCTTAGCTACATGACAAATAATGTTATGAGTTACACGTTGGGAGCTTTACAAGTGTGGTAGAGTTTAAAAATTCAAAAGGTTATTCCCCGGTTAGTCTTTTAAAATTAAACTCTCCTTTTAAGCTTGTACTTATCACATTAGTGTTTTTATTGAGAGTTGACTTGCGGAGGGTTTTGACCAGTAAAAAGACTGAGTGAAGTACCATAAAACGGAGCTGTTGGGGACATCGGCTCTTGAGGGAATGCTCTATTATAAGTCCCACATTGAGGTGCTTCATACGTAGTGTAGTGTTTACCAAGTTTAAAAGAATCTCCTTCCTAATAGGCTATTTTTTTGGAATTAGGCTTTCTTTTTAAGTGTAAGCTGGAAATAAATTATTCAAATTATACTGCATCTCATTTTATAACTTTATTACAACTTTATTATTCCATCAGCCTATATTACTATTATATAAACTAAAATGTCTCCTTTCGAATTAAATCTAAGGAAAATTAACCATGTTCTAAGTAAGAATATTAGTTATGGGTAGGTCTCCGAAAGTTTATGTAATAGTAATAATTAAGTCTCAAAAAATTTCATAATTATAACTTTAACTTTCTAAATACGAATATTTGGCAATTTTAGTATGCAAATTTAACTTGTAAATAATATAAATCGATTTCGCCTGTCACTAATATCTCCTTTAAATCTATTTGGTGCCTTACCAATGTAAGATCTTCGTGACTTCTCTAGGATGATCCGACTGTCATTTCAAGGCCCGTACAACTCTAATACTGTAATTAACTTTTTTTGCCTGTAGTGCTGTAATTAAATTAAACCTTAGCTTAATTTAGTCTCATAAATGATAGATTTGACAATAATTAAGTTGGTATGAATTGTACATGTGCACCTACGATATACAATCATACATACATGCATAAAGAAACTCTCATTCATGAATAAAAAAACGTTTTTATTATTGTCTTATATCGATATCCTTCTTATAACGCCCTCAATCATTTGTAGTTAACATAAAATATAAATTATCTCTCGCAAATTAAAATGACAATATTTTCTCTTTTCTGAGCGCATATCAAATTCTATACGAGTAATACGCTATAAGAAAAATGAAATTTAACATTTTTATTAGCAGAATATTTTGGAAATAATGAATATTTACGTTTTTCATTCTATCGGTGGTAAATAAAAATTATTTATTTAAAATTTTAAAAATATTTTCATAATTCAATAAAATGAAATTCAATATTTTACTGTATTCTGATTGAATAGATTAAAAAATATTTTACCCCAATGATGGAAAAAGGAAATTTATTGTGTAGTCCTAAAAAATAAATATAATTACTAAAAAAAATCATGTACTCGTAATTATTAAATGATGCTGTTAAGTTGTTATTAGTATTTTTAAGTGATTACATGATTTATTTTGGGGGAACCCAGTCGTTTCTCCTGAGAAAAAAGAGGATGGCGGTCCAAATAAGTCACCTATCGAAATGTAGAGAGGAATAAAATTTTTGTTCCGACAATGTCCTCAAGGACTACTCTGCTAGTAATTAGATTTCAAAAAATAAGAGAAAACCTATTCAATCTAATTAATGGTGGCATTTTAATCATTAAATGGGAGTATTTTTGAAGATCAATATAACACTATTTGTTGACAAATTTAATAGTTTGAATTGTTTTAAATTATTTTTTAATCTTGGCGATCGAGGCAGGTAATGGTGACTTAGATGGAGTATTATCTAACTTATAAACATAAATGTGCATGCTTTTACTTGACATATATACCAAATATATACTCATGAAGCCATTCCATGAGATCATTTTGATTTCCATTTTTATTGCCATGCATGAATGTATGGGAGATTGCAATTACATGAAATC